GGGGGGGGGGGGGGGGGGGGGGGGGGTCTGAATTGAGGGATCAATTATTAGACCCGGACGTCCCAACACTTGCTTCGCAAGACAAACTCAAGGTATCCCCTAAAGGGTTACCTTTCGTGACATGCTTGACTTGGCCAGTTGCCATGGATGTTCCCCCTGATGGAACCTTCAACAACAAGGGACCCACGGACCCACTTCTCTCCGGCCATTTGGAACACCACCGACTTCTTCAGTACCCAGGGTCCAGTAACACGCCCTGCCAAAGAACAGCATGTGCTTGGCAGTCGTCTTACGGAGCATGTTCCCCAAAGGCTACCTGACCTTGATCTTTTGCTGGCACTCTACCGAACTATACACAGCATATACATGCATATAATATACGGTATGTGTATCACTTGGTCTCTCAATCAGCCACGACCCCCTTCTCTCAGAATGCCCTTCTCCAGTCACCGCGACCTTGCGGACCGGAACCCAGCAGCCACAAGACGTGGGTGGTTTTTACCTAAGTGAGTGGATCATGGGACCCCATGGGACCCCTCTCCTCCAGTCCTTCGGCACCCCCGAAGTGTGGCTCCTGGTGGTGCTGCTTCCACTGGCTGCCTTCGTCCCGTTGGCTCCGTGCGGAACGTCCGTTTGGTCGTGGTGCGTCCGGATCTCCCTGTCGGTCCGTGGATCCCGCCTGACTTGGTGGTCAGCGCCGCGTCGTTCTCGTAGTGGTTCACCAGCTGCGGCGGCGCTAAGGAGCGCCAATCCACCTGACCGGTGCAAAGGACGGAGATGGCCGCGGAGAGTGGACGGGGTGTGCGAGCGTTTGAGGAGGCACCCGGCCCCCCACCAGGTTGAATTAGCGAGGTTGGCCTGCGACCTACGAAAGTCAACCAGAAGGGCGAGGTTGGGTGTGCCATCTCGAGATTCTCGAGGTGTGAAAAAGAGAAATTCCCAAGCAAACTAGTAACTGATAGCAAAAAGAAACAGATTGGAACATGAATCAATCTACCCCCAACATGTTTTCCTACAACCCACCAGGGCTTCCAACCTGGATCCAAACCAATCTCACCAAAAAAGAGCTGTGTGGCTTCGTGGAATTTAGACACAAACACATTTTCCGCATCCAACACATCCAACCACCGGGACCCCGCACGCCGGGTCCACCGCAAAGTGGGGGCGGCCCGCCTTGCTCCTGGGCCCCCACTTCAAGAGGAAGTCCTCGGCCTCCCCCACTGCGCCTGGCGTATTCCGCTGGGTGAGGAAACAACGGGCAAAGAAGGAAAACATGAAATGAACAAACATCCCTAGAAAAATCCACATATTCTCTGAGGTACGGTGATGTGTTCGACACTGTTATGTAGGTGCCAGGAGGGTCCAGTCATACCGAACCTGAGAAGGTTGCAATGGATCCCTAATGGCATAAAGGATGATGGATGCACTGTATAATGATGCACTGTATATCAAGTTTACCCAAATAGATATATAGAAAAGTAACATCCCACTCAACATGTATTGAAAATCGTTTCTATCTATCTGGGGACCACTATAGTGGGAATGGGATAAACTCTAGGCTGAGAGATGCTGAGATTAAGCCAAAGCACACGAGGATGAATCTGTTAGCTATTTGAGGATTGGCAGCGGCTGAAGGACCCTATGGCGGTCTTGCTATGGCAACCTCAAACAATCATAAAACCATGAATGAATAAGCTACCAAGCTGGACGATGCTTTACACTCCCTGAAATCGTCGTGGAAGTGGATCACATGGCCCCTTGGATGACCATGAAATCCTCTGAGTCTATCGGTGGTGTTGCACTTCCATGATTATATTCACCCTAAGAATCATTGGACCCTCCTATGGAGGGTTTTGACCCTGCATAGCAGGGGTTTGGACCCTCAAAACCTTCACCTTTGAGGCTCTTGAGGGTCCTTGATTCTTAGGGCAGGGAGTGTAATTCATCTGGACAATTGGATCCTGATCCATGAGGATCTCAGAAGCGAACACATGCAAAAGAATTGCTCGAGGAGCATCAATGAATACCAGTTCTCGCTCCGACAACCCTCATTTCATCAGATCATCCCATTTCGTTTCATGGCATTTACACTTCTTGGATCAAACTCACACGGAACATCAAATGCCACTGGATTGTAGAGGAAAATGGCCTTCCAGCCTGGTCCATGCCAGGTTCCATGTGGGTCTCTAGCAGGTGTGTTAGCCTTGCCCGGGTCCCCTCTGGCACCTTCGGTGAAGCCCCGAGTCAGCAGCTCCTGCCGTACCTGCGAGACAGCCATCTCTTGAGACCCTAATCTATATATATATATATACACAGTATATATACACCTGTTTTTTTTGGCGGACCTCTGCAAACCACCAGCCTATCATCCCAAAGCAATTACATGGAATCCAATGCCGGACCAACCGACTCACTCCTGGTCCCTCACTGATCGATCCACCACTGACCGGACTTCAGGACCGGAGGATTGGCCGCCCATACAGTGAGATGTAGACCCTAGGGATCCGTTTTCGTACCATGTCGTACCTTCTCAGGATTTCGTACCATGTGTGATGTGTTCGACACTCTGACTGTAGTTGCCAGCCAGTCGGGTCCAGTCCTACCCAACCTGAGGTTCGGTACGACAGGATCCCTGGGGATACCACAAAAAGTCCATCGAGCAGCAACTTGAGAGAGACTAGTCCATCTGATCTTGCTTCGGTCCCCTAGGGCTCCTGTCCCACCTCCGTTTCGAAAGTGGTTGGGGTGGGTGCCAGGGGGGTCTAACCACCGAACCTGAGGATATGGTTGGAGCCCTAGGGCTCCCTTATTTCATACCGAGTGGACCCACAAAACCCAGTCCAAAACCGCCCCTATGTCCCCCGCGGAGGAGCCAGGCTCCGCCCGTGGCTCCGGGTTGGCGCACCACATCGAGGTTGGCGCTCTCCGGGTTGCCGGTGATGACCTGAGAACGAAATGAGGTCGGAGAAGGCAAGCGAGCATTTGGTTCGTTCATGTGATTAGAACGTGTTTGAATTAACTTGTGTATCGTGATGATATACTATGCACTCAAAGTTCAATTGCTGAAATGTGAAATCATGTGAAATCCGAGCTACTAATGCTACTACAAGCTATACAAGTGAGGCTCACCCTGTCAAGCTATCCAGGAATCCAGGCAGTACCCATGTTTATTTGATGGGGTAGTATTGCCATGCATTACCGTCTTCAGGCCCAGCCACTCGTCAGGCTCCTCACAAGTAACCCCCCTACCAGGGCGACGCCCGCGGGTTCCCCCCGCCGCGGGCGGGGACGTTCCGCGAAGCGAAGCCTGGCATGAAAAGCCTACGGCTCCACCGAAGCCGACGTCCTTCACCAGCAAGGTGGGACGTCCCAATGAGCTCCAATGAGTCAAATCTGTGAGTCACTCCCTGCCAGGTGTCCCCATGGTGAAGTGGAAAAAACACAGTGGACAACCAATTCAGGATGTCATGGCCATCCGAACACGGGGCCATGCCATCCACGTGACCATGATGGTTTCAGGGAGTGTATCTCTCTGCTGTGTGTCTCTTGCCTCGTCCCATCTCAAACTCGCTAAGCTACAAAGACCTTCGGCGCATTGGTCGGCAGCCTCGCGCGAGAGGTTGGAGGATAGGAAGCAACCAACGAGAGATTGGAGGTGGCAGTGTGCAATAACCACCATTGTTTGGAATCACATGTCGGGCATTTTTGGTACCTTCAACTCTATCCAATGTCCACTCCAAAAAAAGCAGGACTGCAAAAATCAAGACTACGTAAAGCCTCTGTGCTGATTCCCTGCCTGGCTGCTATGCCAATATACTGCTCAGTGCTTTCATCATAGGAGCTGCCACCAAAAGGCACTTCCCATGTTCTGGTTGTAAATGGGTTCGGAGCCTATTCACCGTGATGACCGCACAAGAAAGGCATGAAACATGGTTTCATGATACGTTCTACTTGTCTACGTATTGCTGTTCAGTATAACGCATGAAAACATGTAAGTCTCCTGCCGTAGGTTTGTTCCATCTACATTCATGGTAATTGTTCATGAATTGTTGTTCTGAAACAAACAATTAAGTAACTTAAAGAAATTATGTTGAATACATTGTATTACTACTACTACTACTACTACTACTACTACTACTACTACTAATACTAATATAATATAGAGACACTGATACATACTTAGCATCCTTATGTCCAACCAACTTCATCCACCTCCCTGTCCTGCTGTGACCCCGGTCACCCCTGTTCGCCTCTTCCGGGACGCTGCCAGGGATCCCATGCTGCCCGTGCGCTGCGTGAGCGCGGGGGAATCGCCTCGAAGCGAGTGCCGGTGGCCGGTGTCGGTTCCGGATGAGAGGTCCTGGCTTGGTGGAGCAAGGAGAGCCGGAGGGTATGAGGTGGATATATATGATATGGTGATGGAGACCATTTTTTTGGGGGGGAAGGTTCATGGAAAGGTCTATCCAAACATGTCATAGATGGAATGAAAGTGGAGAAAGAAAACATGGTTTCACTCATACAAGCTGTCAGGGCTTCGGTCAGAACCCCTGCACAGGGTGGGTCCAGCGCGTGCTCCCTGCCTGGCATCTTGGGCAGTTCAATTCCTGTGGTCCTTGGCTTCTTGGCAAAGGCCATGGCTGCGAATTCCACGGTCAGGCGGCTCTGGATGTGAAGAGGCGGCTTTTGGGTTGTGGTGTTTTCCTGCTTCTTTCTGCTGGCCAGCTCTGACCATAGGGCACCGATCTTTTCACCGTTGCACCCCCCCCAACAGATCTACAACATCTTTCATCTCCTTTCATGATAAAACTCTGACCAAAGAACCCCTTAAAAAAACCGTGACCGTCCGTCTGCCTTTCTAGTAATTTTCAGTTCCAGCCTGTACTCTGTCTTGCTTCCGCTATGTGGCATTTCAAGGGAGTAGCATCAGTGTGGCCTCTCAGGGAGCAGCTGAGTAGCATCTCAAGGGAGTATTCCAGTTCCAGCATGTAACCTGTACTACTCCGGTGGCATCTCAGTAGCTGAGTAGCAGCTGAGTGCATTGACACGGCATTTTCCACCGTCCATCGTGGTATCTTTCGGCCGACGCACCGGTCCCCCTCCACGAGACGCGGCCGTTGCACGGAGCGGGTCCAAAACGGGGATCCTCCGCGCGGACCGCCCCTCGGAACGGAGGGGAAACGAATGCGGATCGGCCGGTGAAACCGAAGGTGCGGGGGCTTGGAAGCAAAGCGGCCAGGCGGCGGTGATCGACGTGGATGCGAGGGTCTGAAGGGCTGGGTTTGAGGATTTGGAGGGGAAATGCATGTGGATCTACTTGGAAGATCCCTTGTGAAGCAAATTGGTCATGACAACTTGACCAACCAAGCGATGGCTGGCGATAGCTCTTCGATTTGTTTGTTCAAACTCTGCCGACCCACCAGTGGCAATTCCCCGTCGCCTCTCCACTGCTCGTGGTCAAAGCTAGTGCTCAAGAATAATTCAAAGATCTGAAGTATGTTTTATTTGTTTTTTTAGACGGGTATATGAACAAAGGCGTCTGTACAACATGACACCCATAATAACATACAGCACAAACCTCTGGATTTGATACCAGAACATTCGTCACCTTATGACAAGCCCATGTCAAACCTGTGCAAGGGTTGATCCTTGTTTGTTCGAAAGTCCTCTCATAAGTCCTGACCCCTTCCAATGCAACATCAACTGACCTGCATCCTTTTTGAACACCAGGGTTGTTTCATGGCTATATCTTGTTGTTAAAGTGCCATGATCTTTTTCTTGCCACCGTGTCCACTATGGTGCAGCTCACCGTGTTGAATCTTGAACGTGTATGGTGTAGTCCCTGGAAGATTGAGGAAGGTCCACTTGCCCCTGGGAGCTATGTGGTGTGCTGTGAATAGTCCGAACACGGGTTTGTCCAAAAGTCACCAGTTTGCTCAGGACGTATGGAGCTTGAGGGTTAGATCAGAAATATGACGTGTGTATGGAATCCTGCCTTCATGTAGCCCCCAGGTTTGCAATCGCTGGAAACACTTAAACCAAGAGCTACAGTGGACCATACAAACCCACCCTCAGCTGATCTGCCGGAAACCTCTGAGCAACATGAGCAACAACGGTGTTGAACACAACAACATCCATTGCCTGCTCCACTCGCGAGTCAGGGATTCTTTCCACAGAAAATCAATGAACATCAACGCCTAAGACTTGCCCTTCACACGTCCCCACCCCCCAACAGTCTGAGACCATTGCCAGGACAGCGCCCTTCATGGCAGTGCCGCGGGTGACCGGGCCCAAAAGTCCGAGTGGAATATACTGTAATGATTTGAATCCGAAGTTCTGGATGGATTCGTCTCCTCACATGCTCCAAGTCTTAATTTCTCTGACCGCCAGCTGATGCCGCATGATGCCCCCCACAGCTTCATTGACTTGGTCCTTTCTCCGCTGCCCGGCCGCAACAAAAGCAAAGCCGGGCCTGCAAGACTGACCAAAGAAAGAGGTGGGCCAAAAGATTTCTGTGAGAAGTTGTCTCCATCGTTGACCTCAAAGAACAGTCTGGCCAGTTGGACCCGTAGACATATATGTTAAGTTGTGAATGTGTGAGTGTCTGTTTTTGTGATGTTAGGTGCGCAGGCATCCAACAGGATCACCAAAAAGAAGGTACGCAGCAACGAAACCTGGTATTTCAGTAATCAGTAAAGTACTGGGTTGGAACAACACACAAAAGCCATGGACTAGGTCAAGCCATGCTGACGAAGTATATCTCTAGCCTTTAGACTCCTGCTTTCGCTTGCAAACAGGTTGATCTGGCATCCATGACATATCTATGACATATCCATAACACCTCATGATCCCCACCCAAGCAAGTTTGCTGGTTGAGCCCAAGAGCCACAATCCGATCTCTGCACGACCTGGCGAGACATCTAATCGTACACACCTGGTGGGCACTTCAAAGATCTATTGCTGTGATTACAATGTTTTACATTGTTTTACATATTACATCATATCAAGAAAACACTTTGAACACTTATATTGACACATATAATTGACATTCAGAAAACATCACTGATACAAAGGCTACTGATAGAGAGGCCAAGACCTCTTGTTGAGCAAGACGGGCTCGACAGGTCGGACGTGACCTTCCGACCTGCCGAGCTCATGACCACCGTGCTGTTGTGACCAAAAGCCACTTAACCAATGCCTTTTGGCCTACAGTAATTTGCTTTGTCAGATTGGTTTTCCAGCGGGGTTGTTCAAGCTAGGCAGCATCTGCAGCAGCTTGTGAAAGGAACATGTAACATGACTCGAAAACGATGGATAGTGCTTCAAGATGCTTCAAGAGTCCTAAAGTCCCACTGGCAGAAAAAAACATCATAGAAAGTCACCAAAGCCTGCAGCCCCGCAAATGCAGCAAGCTGTAGCCATTCCCGGCGAACAGGGATTCGCATCTGTTTTTGTAATTAGAGTCCAGTCCATCGGTCATAAATATGTGATATGTGATGATATGTGGATCACACTTGCATCCCAAGGAACAACGACAACAACAACAACAAGAATAATAACAACAACAACAAGAACAAGAACAAGAAGAACAACAAGAACAACAAGAACAAGAACAAGAACAAGAACAAGAACAAGAACAACAACAACAACAACAACAACAACAACAAGTACAAGTAACGAGCAATGTTCGTGGCTTGTGCGTCGTCTCCTCCCCCGGTCGGTCGGCTTGCGCCGTCGTTTGCCATTCTTTTGCTTGGCCGGTTCAGTCCGCCCGGCCAGTCTGCTCAGGCTGCCCGGTCGGGCTTCTGGAGGGCGAAGGTGGTGCCATGCCTTGGGGGAAGGAGGACAGGCACGAAGCTGGATGGGGATCACATGCCTTGGATGGGGATCTTTGGTGGTACTACATCCATCTTCAGGATCTGGGTGAACATCAGGTGGTCCGTGTGGGATCCAATGATGCCACGGGGCGCGAGCTGGTTCAGCCTGGTTCGTGAATTGAAAAAGAAAGGTGCGGAAAGCAACAGGCCTGGCAAAAGGTCACTGATCTCCAGGGACCCCCTAGGAGGTCCCTTTGAAGAAGCTGAGGTGCTTTTCCAACCACCTAACATCTGGAGATTCATCTCATGGGGCAGTTCAAGGATGCTCAAAGATGTGAAAATTGGTAGGGGGGGAGGCAGTAAGTATATAACCATGACAACCGTCCTGCTTATAGGTTACTCCTGACAGGATTTCCAAGAACAGAAGTTGACATATTCCAGTCTTGTTCTTATACGATGTTCCAAGAACAACCCCGGCTTGAACTTCTGTTCACAAACCTCAGCTTCCAAATATCATCAGTCCAACAATACCAACATAAACAACTCCCAGCACTTGTCTTCACCCATGGACTTCTTCGGTGTGCTACCAACCGTCTATCACTGTCTATCTAATGAGATTCCACTGCCACACCGCCCAGGTTTTACTTCTGTTAGCAACATGCTGAACTGGTTCACTCCCTATAGCTCCTTCCCGGTTCCCTCCTAGCAGCTAGTCAGATCTAGTCAGATCTAGCTAAAGAACAAAAAACATCACCGAAACGATCTCCAAGGCACAGCCCCAAAAGTCGTCCCTCCAACTTCACCTCCTTCGCGAACTGCAGCGCGGCGGCCACAGGGCCCGGGAAGCGCCAGGGCTTCTCGGGCGCGAAGTCGTGCCCAGCAATGACGCCTCCTGCGACGAAGTGGGTGGCCCGGGCATTGGACCCTAGGGCTCCCATGTCCTGACGAGGTGGTTAGACCCCCCTGGCACCCACCCCAACCATCTTCGAAACGGAGGTAGTTGAAGCCCGAGTGGGCTTCCAAAGGAGCTGTGCGCCTACTATGGACAGGGTGAAACTAAGGATAGGCCAAGCTTTCAACAACCCTACTCGATTTATTGCACCAGCAAGCAAGAGTTTCCAGCGCAGTTGGGGGGGTATTTGGGGAACATCTTGAAGGAAGCGTCCTCCCAATAGATTCAAGAGTCTAGAGTGAGATAGAATTACAGTAGGCTGGTTCAGATTGCGAAGGAAACACACTTCAAAGCAGTTCCTACTCTCGATGTTCACGCCAGCTTGGCTTTCCATCACCACTACTTGAAGCGTCAAGCTCGCTGATGTTTCACCAATGAGGAAAAACATCCCTGCATGATCAAGGCCAGTGGAAGCAACCATCAGTAGTGATACTATCTTTAATATATATATATATATATACATATACAGTAGATATAGCGAGCTACACTGTAACGTAAAGCGCCTCTGTGTCTGTTTTCCCTCTGTGTCTGTCACTCTCCCGTTCTTCCGCTGTGCTCCCACGACCGCCTGGGCGCAGCTTCGGCCAGTAGCGGCGCAGATGCAGCAGCACCATGGGAGTGCTATGGTAGGCATCCACGAAGACAAAGTCTACGCTCTCATCCTCCAGCAAGCGGCTCGCCTCAGCAGACCTACTGACTTTTCCCACTGAAACAGCTTGGCCAAATGAGAGGAATCCACCATCACCTGCCTTTCATTCCACACACACAGGTCTGACCAGGTCTGGAGGCTGCCTTTGACGGAACTGGCTCTCTTTCTCATCTCCTTCAGAAAAAGTTCAGAACATGGTGTAAGAATCAAGGTGTTTCGAGAGGCACAGCCAGGAACATGATACATGATGGAACCATTATATCATAAGTCGAATCCGAAGATGATGATCTAAGTAGTACAGTAGGTGATTGCATGATGCAGCACGACGACTTTAGGGGGGATGTCGCAAGACGGCCATACTCCCCAAAGCAACAACGGGCAAAAGAAATGAACCAAAAAACATGGAACACGAAAAACACATGAAAAAACAAAAAAACACACAATTTCAGCTGCAGTGATTCCTTGAATCTAAGGGGGTTCTTGTCAGTGGGTGTTGTGGTTCAACCCGGTTTCTTCTCAAACTCTAAGGGACAAATATGGAAAAATGTCCCCACTGAGGAAGCACACCAACCAAATGCAGTCGCCCACGTCTCCCTCCATCTTCCAATCGCGGCAGAAGGGGCGATGTCACCTGTCTCTTGGACGATGTGCACCGTGGGCGACCACTGGATCGCCACTTGGACCGACTGGCGGAACTCCTCCAAGCGACCAATCCAGGGGTCAATGGCATAGTACTTCTTCACCTGGAAAGAAGGCGCGAGCTGGCGTGAGCTGATGGGGGGAACCAAGAGGAAGCAAAAGTCCCCAAAAGTGAAGATCAAATCTGATGCATCCTGCTTGCTGGATTGCAGGAATGGAAACAAAATGGGTTTCCTCAAATCAAACCTCACCTTTCTCACCCTCCACCAAGTCCCGGACACACCCCACTTCTGACCGAAGGCACCGACGAATTCAGCAGCTTCAGCTCTAAGAGGACGGCCTGCACAAAGGCTCCCTCATCCACCCCCACCTCCACCAGCACCAGGTCCTTCGTAAAGCCCAGCTGATGAATGAGCCGGGCCTCGTGTGCCACCCAAGGTTTGGGCGCGCGGGCATGAGCCCGCGCGGCGTCGTTCCGGATGAAAGTGAAGAGACTTCAGGAATGGACTTGGTGGTGTGGAGTGAGGTTGAGTAGGTGGAGTCAGACCTTGGCCCAATGGATTTCAGGGAGCACAAGTCCTAAACGAAGTTGAGCAAGAGCCAGTGGCTGCACAATGCGTTGGTTCATGCTTCTTCCTGCAGTGGTTTTAAGACCATCCATGTGGATCATTGCTATTTGCCCCAGAATTCCAATCTCAGGCGAGCACACTTGAAAGCTCTGGTCATCCTCAACACTCCTCATTGGCTTTGAACCCGACGAACCCCCGGGAACCACGTCTCAGTCACGAAGCACCCCAGCCAAGTGGCCGGGAACCACTCCAGCGCAAAGCTCGTCAGACTGGCTGGTGCAACAACCCTCCCATCACAAGAGCTGGATTCGGATTCATTCCCTTAATTCCTTCCTAAGCACCAAACGAAACACACTTAACATGACAACCACCCCCAAAACAAACCAAAAACAACATCTCGAACGCACCCACTTCTGGAGTACCGGCTGTAAACTTCCAACAAGGGCTCCTGGCCCACACAACCCCCGCCGTTCGGTGGGCCCAGTCCACCTCCCGACTAGTTGACGGCCCATTCTTCTCAGGCCAGGAGGTAGGCCATGAGGTTTAGGCCTCCACCTGTCCCTCCACCTGTCCCACGTTTGATGGTAAAGGTAGACCAAGGTCTTTCGTGGGACCTCCTACCTGTCCCACAAAGCCAATGAGCGCTGAGGTCGACCGAGTGGCATAGAAGGAGCCGTGCAAGTGATGAGGGTTCCGGAGCTGAAGCTCTTCCGGCTGCAGCAGCACATACCTACAGGTTGGATGCCCAAAACTGGATCACCACAGTGGCGAGTTCAACACGGGATCACCACAGTGGTGAGTTCCTAGATGCCTCCCTGCTGGGATTGCTATAAATGCGGAAGAAAGTGGGGTTGTCGGGGGTGATTGCTCAGACTTAGATTGCAGGGATGAATAGATTGTGCTAGCAAACGCCCCTGGATCCCCTGGCACTGTTCGGCACTCCTTCTTGACTCAAAACTTTGGCAAGAACGAAAGTCACAAGTTCGATGTTGCGGGTGACATCGGTGAGGGTTTAGATCAGTGGGGGTTTTGAGGCATATGGACTTGAAACAAAACATTTAAAACATGCTCTAAAGTGATATAACATGTAACAATTAGGATTAAAACTTTGAATCTGTCATGGGTTGACAGGAGGTGTTCCTGTGTGGGCTTGTGTGTAAGTTGCATATGGTTTTTCTTTGTTTTTTTGTTTGTGAACTTGTCATGTGAAGTTTGACACTTGTCATGTGAAGTCTCATTTTTTTTGCAAGCTGCTGCCTCGAGATTGTTTGTTTAACTGTTTGTACTGTCAACCATTCGAAAACAGTCTATCAAATGTCTTGTGACCATTTGCGGCCATTACATATGATCGGCGATGCCTGGCTTTCTTTATTTTGGAGATGTGTTGCTGAGACTGCTTGGGGAACGGAATGCCTAACCCTGTCTCAGGGAAAAAGAGTGTTTGAAGATGCTGAAACTTGAAACTTGTTGAACATTTTTAAACACACATGACATGCAACCTCAAAAAAACATACTATGCACTAGCCATACAAAACAAACTGCAGTTGTTTGTAATTCAATTTGTTCTATACTAAGGTCTTATGTTGTTTTTCCTTACTAAAATAGAAACCCTCTCTGATCTAAACCCTGCTGATCTGGACGCGCTACTCCATCTGGTGAAAAAGAACTAGCTGCTAGCTAGAATCAGCTCGAAAACAACCTGTTCACGTCTCAATCGGAATCTGATCCCGACCAAGAATGGCACAAAAAAGTTGAACAGGCCTTCGGATCTCCTCAGGTGTGGCCCTCAGATACCTTCGGAGTTGCTGCCCAGGAAGCCGGTGAAATAAGAATATCGACTGTATTCACCAGAAGGAGATTCACCCAGTTCAGGGAAACATGGAAAATCACCTTCTACAAACAAAACCAAATGAGGGCGAGCGAACTCTAAGTCGAACTCCGCGCTGGCCAGGCAACATGAAGTCCTGAAGGCACTCGCGCACCGGCGTGAGGAACACAGCATCTTTGGACTGCCACCAGCCACCGCAGCAATCGGCTAAGGTATAGCCCTCCTAGGTGGGACCGGACACGGACCGACTCTCACTCGGTGAAGGTGATGGTCCCGACAGTGAGACGGTGTTGGTGGGGGAACCGCAAAGGGCATCAAACACTCAGCCCTGGCCTCTGAAAGGCCCTCCACCAAAAAAGAACACCTCTGCGGGATGGGTCTTAGGTGGGCCAGGAGCAATGATGATCCTGGGGAACAGGCAAGGTCGGTGAAGCTCTTAGCCACCCCCTATGGAAGTGGTTTCCACCACCCGCTTGGGAGAACGATCCCCCCTAGATTCCCAAGATGTTCCAGTTTCTATTATCCCAAACACGACCTGTCTGGGACTAGAATATAAACCCCCAACTGATGGGGGGTGAAAGTCTAGCCCCATGCATTGATTGTATTGTCCCCCAAACAATTGATGGGACTGGAATGTATGCCATAATATGCAAATCAATTGATCCCTGAAATCAACCATCCCTGGCCTGATTGGTCTGGCTACGCAGTGGTCCCATGTGTCGTGTCTGGGTTTCTTGGTTTCCCACGCTGCTTAAGTCCTAGTCACTGTGGTTTCCCACGCACGGTTCCTGCCCAGTCCTAGTCACTTCCACCACAGTCCTCCATGCAGAAAAACTCGGAACAATAGTGGATTCAAAGGAGATGGCACAATCCCTAAAAGCGCTAAAAGGTGATTTATATGGACTGGACACCCATCTAAAAAACATCTTAGGGGTGCCAGTGCCATCTACTCTGAAACCACTGCAATTGGGTTTTGATGCAACTTGTATGACAAAACAAGGTTTCCAGTAACATGTCCTTGAACCAAAATAATATCTTGGAGAAGTATATGGCAATAAGCTGGCAACTTGTTTGCAGGGGATGCCCAGCAAACAATTTGACATAATAAACAACAAAGAAGGCCACTCCAATTTGTCTAGCTCACCTTGCACCAACCAGGAAAAACGCATGCAAATATATGCAAACTACTTAGAACGAGCAACTTTATAAGGGAACATATCGACTGAAATGCATTGGTTCATATTGGTTAGATTTCCCTATTTTGCAACACCAAATCAACTCGAGCAAACTCAAGCACGTCGTCGGCATCCCAAGCATCGCTCTCACAGGCAGACCATCCACCATTGGAGCAACACAGGTCGGGCGTGTACATGCCTCGCAGCGTCCCGGACACGGCGCCCGGACACCAAGCGTTTTGGTGCCGTGCCAATCGAAAACACTTTCATTCATCGTCCACCTGGATCTGTGGATGCGACACGTCCACCTGCAAATACACACAGGCTAGATCTAACAGGGATCTAACAGGGTCCTGGATCTAACAGGGACGCTTAAATCTTCACATAGGGTTCGGGTTCGATGCACCAAAGGGGAGATTTTTCAGCGTCCTCGTTGAATGTCTCACCTGGGACCGTGAGGCGAGTGCCCTCTGAGTCGAGTGCCCTCGGGTTTGAAGTTGGTCACCAAAGGCGCGTAGCTCCCTGGAGGAGAGAAACCATGCTGATCATAGAGGCATCGCTATATGATGCTTGGAGCATCATCATTCAATTCCAAAATGGAATACACCTTTATTGTGATCAAAACGAATAGGAATTGGAATAATGGTGCTTGTGGTGTGCTTCGTGCCCTGCTTATCCACTCTCCACTCCTTTATCAACTTGCCTGCTGTGTGGGAACTCGAGCCTTGCCCCCAATCCCGCCTTGCCAACAACCACGATCCCTCGCCAACTGTCGTGCATGAGCTTGCCTGATCGGTCCCAAACGGTGCGACCCCAGCTTCGCCATGAGCGTCTGTCTTGGGGGTTTCCTGCTTTTTCTCTCCCACATCCTGCTCTTTTCGGCGATCTCGGGGTTACTGAGGAGGAATTCCAAATCGCCGAAATTGAAGATTTTCTGGGCGACCGAAGGGTGAACAAGTTGGAAGTGATTCAGCCTCCAACCGTCGCTGACAACCACCATGGGCCTCTGTTTGGAGACAACGAAGGTCAACAACAAGGGGGCCATGCCCTCCGACACCATGGTCTGCTGATTGGGGAGGTTTGGGAGGGTCTTCACTTGGCTTGGAGATCAAGTGAGATCAGTTCGGGGAGCTGAACTGGCGTGAGAGTGGTTGCGGAGGGAAGGCCCAACTAATTGCAGGAGTGGTGTGAACTTGAGCTGGTCCGTCCATATGCCACAGCCTCACCATCCTGCAAATCGAAACACATGTGCTCCTGAAATGCTCTAAAAACACAGCCAGTGGACCTTCCAACCTACTTAGTGTTCATCAGCATTTCGTCACCACATCATGGTGCTCTTCTCTGAGGTCTTGGTGCCACCCGGAAACCTCTTTTTCAAACACTATACCCACTCCGAATCATTCCAAGGAAAACTATACCAGCACCTTCTCCAATGGAATACATACTTGTGGACCTCCATTGGGCATCCCGACATGAAGGTGTTTTTTTCTCCATGTTTTTTCATATCTTCATCATCCCAGCAGCTTGGGATCAAAGAGCTTTTTGCTCCAATCCGTGTAGATCTGCATCGCCACGTGCTCTTGCCCGACTTTTGGCGCACCCCCCCGCACCGGCACACCAGACCCGGCATGCACCACGAAGCCGAAGGTGGCGCCCATGCCTGTGCCAGCGAACAAATGGAAGGCCAAAACATCAGATGGTGTTCCTTTTTGCATTCCCCTTTAAAGTCCGCCATTTGATATGACTTTCATTTTTGAAAATCAAGCTGTGTCTCCACCCCTCATTTACCTCGAAGAACACCTGAAAAAAAGGTGGACTATGTGAAACCACCAAGAGAGACAGGCATGATCCTTCATTATCTTCATTGGCAACTTCTAGACATCTGAAGAAGTTCAGCCCATTTCAACACCCTGAGTCCAAAGCTTCTCTCACCAGCCACCCTCGACATTCCGAGGCGGGGTCCGCGCGTTGTTTGGTTGCAAAAACTTATCTAATCTAAATCCGTTGGTAGAACAACCTGTCAATTGTTGTAGTCGTTGAAGCACTCTCAGGGTCCAATCGGTCCAAAGTTAAGGAACATAAATGCGAACAAAACAAGTCAACACTTGGGAGCACAGTTGGACTGTCCAAAGGTTTTGGAGGACGCTCTGGCCTTGAAGAAACACCCGTTTGATCGTTTCATGGGGCAATCTACTGCACTACACTCCCTGAAATCCTCATGGAAGACCCTGTTCGTAGAGGAACCCTGTTACCATCGTTCCGGGGCCATGTTCAACGATGGTTGGGCATCATCTCTAGCTCCTGGAACCACCCACCTTACAGGCACAGAACCCACCCCACAGGCGATCCCAAATCTCTCTCCTCCGCTCTTGGTCCCCCCACGCGTCACCGTGAAGCTCCGGGTCTCCTCATCCCAGTGGATTTGATCCTCTTCCAGTAGCGGCTGCAGCGCGACACCGCCGGCATTGGCCCAGCGGACTGCCAGCGCCAGGAAGGCGGAGGCAGCTCCCAACAGCATCACGAGGCATGACAGGGCATCGCCGCAAGATCTTGGGCTGTGTTTTGTTCTTTTTCTCCGATGAAAAACCCGTAAAATGCAGAATGGACCAAACAAACGGGTGAATATAGTTTTGAGATATGTTTTGAAGGGTTATTGTTAGGATCCACGGACGTTTTCGGTGTATACCATCCTGCAAGTTTCAACTAAACAAATCAGGTGTTGATGTTGATTCTCTGCCTCGAAAATGCTGCTGAAAGTGTGGCTACCAACATTGCTACCTGTGTGTATTCATGTTAGTGACTGACTTTTGTTTTTGGCAGGACAGCTTTTTTTTGGGAGGAACTGTGAGCCCATACCTCCAGCTGCGCTACCTTGATGACTGTCATTACCTCCTTGTTTCAAGCAAATCTTGGATGATTCTCGTTCACAGCTAGGGCCAGCTCCAAGGTCAGGGTTAACACAAGGTGCATATATGGCACGCTTCTTGTACAAAACATTCGGAAGATGCGCACACATCCAACATTTGCACCATCTGATGCATCGATTTGAACAATCAACACTCTGTTGGGCCAACCCCAACTGGACAGTGACTCCAAATAGAGGAAATCTGCACGGATCATGGAGACATTATATAATCGACATGTTCAATCTTGTCGATTTCACAACAGAAAAGGTTTTGGCTCGGCAGCCACATTCTGTCTCAAACTGAATCAAGGCCCCAGTGCTGGCCATGTAGGCAAAACAGAACCATCATGCACCTGGTCACCAATCGCCCTGTGCCATGTCGCGGAAGATGGAAGACTCGGCCATCCTTGCTGGCAGTCTCGGCAGCTTGGCAGCCTAGCAACAAACAGCAGGGCCAAAGGCGAGGGAAGCTCTGTCACGATGCATCAACTCTAGACTCTAGCTGATGCCACGAAGCTTGTGAGGGACCGGCTTTTTGTTCACGGGGACATATGTTAGGTCGAACACAGACGAGTCTGTGCCGAATGAATCGCGGCATGTAGTTCTGCATGCCACGCTGTTTGCCTGAGGCAACGTGAAACAAGTCTAAAGCCGCTTGCTGTCTCAGACTGGGCTACAAATCCATATGCTTCCTCACAGACCCGCATTAAATGAGTTGGAGTTCCAACTTGGACAGTTGGAGTTCCAACTTGGACATCTCATAAGTTAGAGATAATGAGATTCAAGAGGGTCCTCATTGTCTTCCGGAGATGCTTCCTGAGTATTGGCCACCTCCGGAGATGCGTTTCTTTCCGCATCATCCTGCTTCACGATTCCCCAGTTTCGGCCGAAAAGGAAGCGAAGCAAGATTGGGCCAAAGAAAGGAAGTGCTGCAATACGAGCTGGGCCCAAGGCAGTCATCAAAAGGATTGCTGGCATAATCCAGAAAGCCACAAGCACTTCGCCACCCATCCCTTGCCAAAGACCCACCCACATAGGAGCAGCAAACAAAATCCAAAGACTGACACACTTCTCGGCGAAGGCCTTTCTCTCAACACGCAGTGGTAGAAAGATCAACAGCCACAGAACAATCTCCATGATAATAACGATCCAAAGTAACCAGTGGAAGAAGGGAACTTCTGGCTCCCATAGATTGATTCGGTACTTCCTCACCGTTACACAGCAGCTGCCACACATCCCCAAAACAGAGATGAAAAGGAATCTGCTCCAGCCGGACATAGTTCCAAGCAATCCTGCACGATCTGTCACATAATGCAGTTGCTTTGTTGAAATGTTCATGGCCAAAAACAACTCCACTGTGCGGTCAACAGCTTCGATTTGTCCATGCTGCTCCATCTCCCTGAAAATATTCCGCAAATCCTCAGGGTTGGAACTCATGGCATTCCTCACGCTCTTGGTGAAGTTCTTTCGAAGCTGCCGCGATTGCTGCAAGGATTGGATGGCGCCCAAACGATCGGCCTCAACAGCTGCCAGGCCCAGAAATGCCAAGATCAGCTCCGTGATGGACGAGGAATGTGTTAAGCCATCCCGTGCAATCTCCGGTGCCACGTAGCCATGCGAAAAGGTAGCAAAGGCGAAAACAGCCAGCTGACAGGTCACCTGGGCAAGAATCAACATCACTGTTCTTTAATTTACCAAAAATCAAAGCAAACCAACTTCTCTCAGAGTCGCATGTTCAGTCTTCCGGAAGAGGAAATGTAATCCTACGGCCACTCCACTAGAAACCATGGCCACAAACGAAACCAGCGCAGCAATGCGGAAGAAGCCCCAGTCCCAATAGCTACGGCTATAGCCCAGGTAGGTGGTCAAGGACATCTGAAGCAGCAACGTGAAGCCCAAGACGATAAAGCCAGTTGAGGACACCCGTAGTACACTGGGCCCGAATGTCACTGGAGCACGGGCCATCTGGATTCGCTTGTTCCACAAGTAGCCCAGAAAGGCCTCGTAAACCTGCATTGTTGCTAGCAGACTTCCACACTCTGACGTTGGAAGTGGATGGCATGGTCCCTTGGAAGACTTTCCTTTGCAAACAGGAGGTTTTTCACTTCCATGTTAGACAGTCGGAGTGTAGACAATGTTGCCATACCTCCTAAAAAATATTTTGCAACTATAATGTAAAATAATCCTGGAACATCCTGGAGTAGATATGAGTAGATAGAATATGAACCTCTCCAAAAACATGACCAGAGTCCCATGTTTATTGAACATGTCCCAGTTTCTACCTAGTCCAGGATGACTACAATTCAAAAAAAATACTGGGGGAAAGGCTGGGAAAAGAACAACATAGTCTGGAGCAAACCCCAGAAGACGCACCAAATTCGAGTGTAAATGCTGCCTTGGATGTGCAGCATCGAAAGCCAGCAAGGAAAATACGTTCTTCCGTCCGTGATGACCGATGACCCATAGTGAGAAAGAGTCATTAATAAAACAAATCCTTTTGTCCATGATGACTGCACATAACAGAATACACAGCAAACTCTCAAAAGTCAGGGTCAGAAAAAAACAGAACGTGAGTGGCACGTCCAACACCAAACAACACGACATCTGTATATTGGAAAACAATATAGAAATCCATGTCTGGAAGCACTGCGGAAGGAGAAACACACCCCTCAAAGCCTTATTAAGGTCGCACCCCGGAAAGATGCTATAAGCAAAACAACAACTCCAAAAGCAAACAAAAGACTCACCCACCACTTGGCCAAGCTGCACACGTGATTGGGCACTACCAGCATTTCAGAAGCATGTTCTAAGGCTCTGGCGAAGGGCGACTCCCGGGGGCTTTGAATCAAGTGGCTGATGTCCAAGTTTTGAGGATTCGACAAGAAGCCTCGGCTGAAGAGAGTGGATGGCGTTGTTTCGATCGTCCTCACGGAGGAGGAACACCCCATGGCGGGAGGCATGAATAAGCATGAAAAAGCACAAAGAAGAACACCAACACCATGGAGGAGGCTGTCTTGTTCCATTTGTGGGAGGCGATGTGCTTTGAAAGATGAACCATCGCGCAAACTAAGGCGGATATGAAAGGCAAGAACAAGAAGCACACATAGGCTCCAGTCGCGTGTCGTGGCCAGGAGTTCTCCACTTGGTCCACAAATTCATAGATGCCCTCTGACCAGCCATGAGTAATGAAAACATCACAGGGCAATCCTTCAGGGTGCTTCAGCAAAGCCCAGCTCACATCACCAGCAGCTTTCGTGACGGGTTTGATGAACTGCTGAGCCACCGTATGGATGCTCAGGGCCGATGCGGTCTGAAGCCTCAAACGGATCGAGCCTGGTGGGTTGGATCTGGCCTTTGGTAACCGCATCCCGGACCAAACGCTTGAATTGTTGCAAGTCCTGCAGGGTCACACACCAGTTCTTCTGCTCGACTGCCCTGCAAAGTTGGGCACCATCCAAGACAGTCGTGAAGTCGAGCAAGTGAAGGTCCTCCTTGGTAGCTACTGGAATCTTCTGTGTGTTGCAGTGTATGAGTAGAGTGCCTATCAAGAAGCCCAGGATGCCAAGAAGCATGATGCCAAGCGCGACAGGACCCATATATTGCCAGTCTCCGCACTCCTCAGTTGGTTCACCCCAGCAACATGTGTACTCCCACATGGCCTTGTCGCCCTGCGGCTTGAGGATATGAATGAAATATCCAGGTGTGCAAACGCATCGGTCGACCATTCGACCTCCATAGCACTGCAGATCTGGCTTGAGTCGGTGATCGTAGGGACACAAGTGTCTCTCACCAAGAGTCCCATCCGGGCATCGAGTTGGAACAGCGAAGCGGACATCTTCACCTCTGAATGCTCTGGGGGAAAAGGCTTCTGGAGTACCCAATCCTGAAAGGGGATACTTGAGAAAGATCTGATCGCTGCCAGCACTGCTGAAGTCAATGGCTCCTGCCTGCACTGGCGTGTTGCCCTCAGGGTGGTGGGCAAATGATGCATAAGCAGCAAAGTTGCTGAAGTTCTTGCCAGGAAGGTCGAAACAAAGATCCACATGAAGGTTCCTGACGCGGTCATCTGCCCAAACCCAATCCATGTGAGGCCGTCCTTCCTCGCAGCTTTCTGCCACCAAAGGCACTGAGTGATAAGCATCACCGGGAATAGCCACACATACAGGCTCACCCGTCGAGGACTTCACATACCGGTTCACAAGCCATGTCTTGTTCCAGTACCACACCTGATTGCTGGCAAAGAAGTCTTCGTCACACTCCTCGAGCTCCACATAGAGGCTTCGGAGTGTCAGGCACTTCGTCGTGTCCACGGAACTTCGGATCGCGAAGTCCTGCGCCACGGCAAACTCCAGAAAACTGAGGCAGAACCATGCCAGCAGCTTCATGGGACTTCATGGGTGACGGTGTGCTGCAGACGGCTGAAGAGAAACATCTTTCTTTAATCCGGGCCACCCGGGGGAGGGTCCCGGGTCGGATTAGGGATCCAAATCCAAGCCAAGCAACTCAAAAGATCACCCGAATCAGCCAGGAGGATGGTTGTGAGTTACTCAAGATCGATCCGTCCCATTCGTGAAAACATGCAGGAGGATCCAAAAACATCTCAAAAGTCATGCGTTTCTGTATGCCACTCCACCACTCCACCTGAAAATGGCCACCAAAACATGCCCCCTTCTTATTCGAAGCACCCGGCATGCCAACGCCGAGAATCCAGAGTCGAAGCACCAAAAAGCACCACAGGTGTCTATAATTATAGTGCTAGTGCTACAAGCAACGCCCTCCGGCCAGGCTGTGCTAGGATTTCAGTCCGAAATGTTGGATCCCATGGGACCTATGGCCGATCAGTTGCGGTTTGAAGAACCCTGGAAGGTCCGTTTTTTTCCACAAGTTTGGATCACCGGTGATCTGAAAAAGGGAGGTTCCTTTACTTCAGCGGTGCCCAATAGACTCGTTCTTGGGACTTCTATAGACTCTAGACCTACGAGAAGATCCTACGAGAAGATGTTTGAAAAGGGCTCAATGTAGACCTACATTGAGCTCAGTGCGATGGATGGCCTGGGCCGCTCTTCCCCCAAATGCTTCGTCTTTCTGGGGCCTTTCGGCCATACTTCATGGCCGGTCTGGGCCGCAGGTGGCGAAGGACGTGGCGCGGCTGCCGATCGCCACGGAGGCGTGGCTGCGGCGGCGATGGACGTGGCTGCGGCTGCGCGTGAATGGATGAATCATGAGCGTGTTACGTGTTGTCTAATATATCTATGATATGATGATATGATATTATGTCTCAAAAGTATTCACAGGTATCATGGTGCATTTGGCATGAGTACGATATTTGCTTGGCAGCTTAGCTTCATTGGAATGTCTGTACCGGGTGCTGACGGTCTGTCTCACCTCTCCGCGTCGTCGGTGTAGGAGCCACATGCAACCAGTTGAATTGGTTGAATTACCTCTTCTCGCGGAAGCAACCCACCTAATCCACCTCCAATGGCCTCGAAGCGTATGTTGTTGGTCTTGTAACTTGTATCCGAACTACACGCGGATGATCCAGGCGGATAATCATAGGTCAGTGGAACGGGTCCCAAACCTGCCAGAGCATACATGGACCCAACCGGCCCAGCCACCTCCATCGTTCTGGAATGGAATCACAGAACGCTCGGAGCAGAAAACCCAGTGACACGGATGAAGTTGGATGTTGGACGGAGTTGGAGCTTCTATGTTGCTCCCAAAGCCCTACCCCCAAATGGGAAAGAACAGCTCTATAGTTTTGTTGGATCGGGCAACTCCGAGATCGGGTGCAAGCTCCCCAAAGTGCTTCACTTTGGGTTTCCCTGGTTTCCCCAGAATTCCACAAGGCCAACCAGGAGAGCATCATAGAGCATCCACACAGCTGGATCACCAGAATCAGCTCGGAATCCCCCCCCAAATATATACCAGCAAGAGACCTCAAGAAGTATTCAAAAGATTACCATAAGTGAGTGAGAAGACGATGTTCTTTGGGAAACCAGACGCACACCGACAACCGGACCGCCCCCCGGTGACCGGGCCCCGGTGCAGCACACACGACCCGCTGCTTTTCGGGCGCCGTTGGGCCGAAGCAAGATCCATCCGCTGCTCAAGGTTGGTTTGGCTGCCACAGAGGGAAAAACACTGGAGATGTTGCAAATGAATTGTAGGAACTCAATTTTTGTTAAACATGCAAGGCAAATTTGCGTATGCAAAAAAGGTAGGCCCCACATGTTCATACATTGCATTTGGGCTGACTGGTGGCAAAGAACGTCAGTTTTTGAACTTGTTGACAAACAATGACAGAATCATCGCAGAATCAGAACTACTATGTTTCCTGTGTGCTTGCTACAGTAGCACCAAACCCTCACATGTGCGAGGGGAATCAAATCAGTACAAACATTCTGGCTCTCCCCAACAGCCAGCTGGTTAAGCTAAGGTTGGGTACCTCCAACTACGTTCTGACTGAATAACGGTTTGTATATATATACAGTAATGGTTTGTAGAGGTTTGTAGGGCCTCTAATTGTTGTTTTAAAGCAGTGACAAATCAGGAAGGGATATGAAAGGACGGTACTGGGACGAAACCTGCACAAGGGGAAGAGTTGCAAACATCAGGGCTGTAAAGAATCCCCCCAGGGGCAAACACCATCCAAGGATGGTGGATGATATGACTTGCGATCCAGTCCGCCACTTACCTGTCCCTTGCCTATCGCAGTCAGCAAGCGGGCAATGGGTGTAGGAAGTGTTGCAAATAGCCAATGAAAAGGAAAAGGTGAGCCCCTTACAGTAATACATCCAATTAGGAGAATTGTCAATAAAAACACAAATTAAAGTAAAATCTCATGCCGGCCTGCAAAAACCTCAGCCCGCAGTCTATCATGTATTTCGCCCAATATATCCAAATATGGTATTTCTCAGTTTTGGTCCCAAACCACGATGAGCAACTCCAACCACGGTGGCCATCCGATCGAAAGCACCGTTTTGCCACCGCAAACCCAACGTCCAATCAAGCTGGACCCGACCCGAGCGGTGACGCTGGACTCGACCCGAGCGGTGTAGACCGCGCGCTACACGGGAGGTCCGAGAGATTGGTGCTGTGCATCGTCAAAAAGGGGGACACCGAGAGAGGCAAAGAGCCACGAAGATGTGAAGCAAATGATCCAAATGAGTTTGACCAAATGTTCCAGGCTGTCCCAATGTTTCAGGTGACTCTATGTGAATTTCATGAAACTTATCCAGTCTTCCGGCTAATTCTTGTAAAACTGATGTGCTTTGCTTGGGAAATCTCGAATCGGAATCGAACATAGGGGCCTGATTGAATCACCGATCGATCTCATCCTGGGCTTGGAAATCTGTTCCTTGGGCCTCCCAGCATTCTGCTGCTGACTGGTCCTCTCAAGTCTTCAAACGCTCGATACACTCCATGCCAGTCCCATACGTCGTCGTGTCTGGGAACAAATATAACGTCGTACCGAGGATCGGTGATGAAGACACCCAAGCAAACTAGCCTATGAGTTGGGTATATCGGTGTATCGCATTACCAGTAATTAATGGATGATGATGGTTAGCAAAGGGCTTTCTCAAAAATCGTGATAATCCTTTACCGACTGTTATTGGTCATGGGCTACACCCAACCGATGAGTGAGAATGGGGTGCTCTCCAAGGGTCCAGGAGATTCGTGCTCTGAGTTGTGAGATCAAGTCACTGGTGTCACCCATAAGGATTGAGGGTGGCTGGATCCGAAATCCCAAGGGAATCTCTTTTGGGGGGCGAAACATCCAACGCATTCGTGTTCTCTCATCCCGCCCGTCCAGTGGCGCTGCTCTGGCGCTGCTATAACCGCTGCTGTGGCCTCTTTCCCCATGTCTCATGCTCCCTCTCGATGTCGGGTCAAAGACTTCGGAATGTTGATCAAAGACTTCGTCGAGCTCCGACCGCTGCGCGGGAAGTGAGGTCAGTTGAAGTAGGTGATAAACTGAAGCTCGGACTCGGGCCAACCTCCCAATTTTCAAAGTCCCCCTGGCCACACAGGTTCATAGATGTAGTTAGATGTAAGAACAACATTATACTGTTACTTGGTTAAACAACATGTACATTAACTGCAAAAAAACTCATTACTGCATATGATCGGAACAATCGAGGGTGATCCAGCGTTTCACTACGGACTACGTATGACTCTTAAAGCAACAGTTGAAGTTGAAGCATCTTCAAGTACATATGTAATGAGCAGCTTTACATACAGGTACAAATCCATAATATATATATCCGCCGACCCCGTGGTGCAGCAAGGGGGAGCGCGCACCGAAATGGTATGTTCTGTTGTTTGTGGCCATAAGGTGGGCTACTGCTTCTTCATCTAGAGATCCCACCCCGAAGTGTTTTTGGTGCTCGGTGCGCAGGTTTCTGTGCCTGGAACAGTGGAGCTCTGTGCCTGCAACAGTGGAATTGCCTGCCGAGATCCCAGCCCGAAGTGTCTTTGGTGCTCGGTGCCTGGAACAATGGAGCTCTGTGCCTGCAACAGTGCAATTCCTGCCAGAACCTTGATTTTTTCATTCGGTTCAGGAGTGACGTTTGGCCCGGGCAGAGGGACGGCAGGAGGCTGTTCCGTCACGCCGTGCCAGGGTGTTTTCCTGATTCGAAGGGTGTCTTGTGGCTTGGTTTGTGTGCCTGGAACAATTGCCTGCCGGACCCTTGATTTTTCATTCGGTTCAGGAGTGACGTTTGGCCCGGGCAGAGGGACAGCAGGAGGCTGTTCCGTCACGCCGTGCCAGGGTGCTTTCCTGATTCGAAGGGTGTCTTGTGGCTTGGTTTGTGTGCCTGGAACAATTGCCTGCCAGACCCTTGATTTTTTCATTCGGTTCAGGAGTGACGTTTTGCCCGGGCAGAGGGACGGCGGAGACTGTTTCGTCACGCCCTGCCAAGGTGTTTTCCTGATTTGAAGGGTGTCTTGTGGCTTGGTTTGTGTGGCTGGAAGACCCTTTTTTTTTCATTCCGTTCAGGAGTGACGTTTGGCCCGGGCAGAGGGAAGCACCAGGCCGTTCCGTCACGCCGTGCCAGGGTGTTTTCCTGATTCGAAGGGTGTCTTGTGGCTTGGTTGCTGTGCTTGGAACAGTGGAATCGCCTGCCAGAACCTTGATGTTTTTCAGTCGGTTCAGGAGTGATGTTTGGCCCGGGCAGAGGGACGGCAGGAGGCTGTTCCGTTCTGATTTTTGGTGGCTTGGTTTTGGACTATTTGGAGCGCCACTCTGAGCGCGGCCGTCTGGACGTTTGTCTCGGCACTGAATGCGGCCAGTTTGCTTTTTACTGGTAACGACTGTCCCACACGTAGGACAGGTATGCGGAAATGATTTGGATCGGACTTCGCCACACGCGACGCGAAATTGCTG